AATAGAATGACTTTTGATGTACGAAACTTTGTCAAACGTTTCCTTGCAATAACGACACGAATCCAAGTACACCTACACTAGAGGGTAAGTAGTTTAGGAAACCATAGTTAAAACTATTCCTCTTTAAAATAAGTTTTTCTCCAGATTTGATGTTGGGTGGTTGAAAGTCCAATGTACTGTTTATGTGTAATCATAACACATAATTGCAGTCAATTACAGGGAATATTTAATGTGATAACATATTAAAAGAGACCGTGCCAGTACTAATGAACAATTTCGTTTTAGGTCATGTTGGAATCTACGTTTTCACGTGTGCCCCTCATTATCATTGTTTTACAACATTGAAAATGCATAAATGCTAAGAGCTCGAGATATATACCGAAAAAAGCTACATTGAAACGGTGTATCCAATCTAACCCTCGCAGGGGAAGTCAATCACTTCTGTCGTGGAAACGATCGCCTGTACAGGACCGCAGGATGGTTGCAGTCTTTGTCCTGGTGGCTCTGATCTGGATCAACACAGAAGACTCTTCCGTCTGATTTCAGGATCCTGTTCTTCCACAAGACTAGCAACTGCCATGCATCAGCTGTCTTGACACCATTCTGAACACATTCTAGCGACAAATGTTATTTGAAAAATTTATATGAGGGCTCGACGTGGAGTTACTCCATCGATACATTTGTACACAAATGCTCCCGAGCTGTCATGGAGTTGGTCACCTATGAGCTTCTGGACATTATCACAGATACATGTTTGTGGTGATTTTTGTCTTTAAATATTCATCGCCTCCTGCTCTGTTTGAATTCTTTCACCAGTCGGGACATTTCCTCCAGACCTTCGAACAGACCCTCCCCGGTCGTAGCGCATGTCCCTGAATGTACCACTTCCGGTCCGTCATCTTCTGAAGTGAAGGGTGTCCACTACTTCCGATAACTTGGCGGCAGCTTCAGGGCAGAAAATTTAGATGGTAGCGAGAAGAAGAGAGGTTGTAAGCCACGACGACCACAGAAACGGATCTCATCTCGTCGCTGTCGATGACGTTCGTCAGTTCCTCCCGTGACTCGACAAACCTCCCCTGTCGTTAGTGTCAACCACGTACAGGATACCTGCAATATACAAGATGATATTCAATTCATTTCAAAGTGAAAGGGTGGAGAAAGCCCTCTCGACATAAAAGTATTGATGTTTCAATGATTCGAGCCTAAGATTCGAAACCAAATGCGGGACAAAGAAAGGTGCTATTCACATGACTACCCACCTTTCCGATACCTAGGCGCTAATCATATGACTACCCACCTTTTCGATATCTAGCAACCATTCATATAACTACCCACCTTTCCGATACCTAGGAACTATTCATGTGACTACCCACCTTTCCGATGCATAGGCGCTATTCATATGACTATCCACCTTTCCGATATCTAGGCACTATTCATATGACTACCCACCTTTCCGATACATAGGCGCTATTCATATAACTACCCACCTTTCCGATACCTAGGCGCTATTCATATAACTACCCACATTTCCGATACCTAGGCGCTATTCATATGATTACGCACCTTTCCTAGACCTGAAAACATAGTTGTGCAAGGGAGTGCTAATATTCGATCAGTGTTCTTGTATATTTTAACGGAGCACTACCGATATGTCATAAACCAAAACAGGACAATTTGGGAGATACAGCAAGAAACTGACCGCTGCAGTTCTGGAAGTAATGTTCTACATGGGTCTGATCTTGTCCTGAAAGTTACCAAGCACCTTCTCTCATACTGTCTCATAGTTACGGGTGTTTGAAGTGTATTAAAGGGCTAGAAACCGTCGAAAACCGAGCCAGGATACGTTTTTTGACATGCGAGCGGACCTTCCAAATACAGCCGGGGTCGAATAGTTCCGGAGAAAAATTAGGTCCCTCCTAAACAGGCCGTAGCTCCGTTGTTCGTGGGTCTACAGTCAAATCAACTATTGTTCTGGAATTGCCAGGACTTCAGTTATCATATGTACACATATAATGTACGGAACAGTGGAATTGCCTACCCGCCAAAACGTCAATTTCCTTGAATCCAATATAGCCGCCAAACTGAGCCTCTTGGCCCCATGGGTCATCAGTTGAAATTGAAGGTAATCGGATTCCAGAGTTGCCCCTGAAATTTGGTAGTCATTGGACATGTAGTTTCGGAGATTATTGCTTTGGACATTGAAATTTTTGAATTATTTTTGAATTATCTGCCCTTTGCTATTGGGCCTAGAGTCCTGCGTTTTTGGCGCAATCAACTTCAGCGTTGTGGGCACCTTGGTGATTTTTGGAAGCGATTCTGAGCACTGGTTTAGGAGCTATATTTGGTACAAAATACGGCGGAATAATAAATAAAAATAATCGAACGATTTCAATAGCTAGGTCTCCTGCCTAGAGGCAAGGAGCCATAATTTATTCATAAAGCATGATTGAAATACCAAATGTATCCTGTAAAATTAGAATATGTTCATGTCAATAACAAGTTGTGAAAAAGGTAGCTGCAAATAAATATTACTTAACATTCCGGCAGCATGGAGTCCAACCATCAGACTTCTAGCTGGGACTCTGGAAAACCCGGAGAACAGGCCTGTAAAGTCAGCAAGTTTTTCCAAGATATCACTAATGATTTGAGTAGCTTGGACACGAGAAGTCAATATTCAATATCTGAGACAGCGCTCTAGTCCTTGATCAAGGTTGGTCGAGTTAATGCCGTCTAATGTTGTGTCTCGATCAGAGCTTGAATGATACGGTATTATTAAACCTGGTTTATATACTCGACGAGGTTCCAGCGTGGAGGGATATGTTTAACTATTATAGCCGTTGTATGAGGTACTGGAGTAGACTCGTGAGAATGAATGGTGAAAATGGAAGTGTCAACTTCGTGTCTTATGTTCGTTCACTATTGCTTAAATTTGGATTCTCTTTTGTGCGGATTACACAAGACTTTGGCGACGTAGATGTATTATTGCAACGTTTAAGCAACGCTCCAAGGATATCTGTTTCCAAACTAGGAGCAGTGATATTGGTACTGTGATATTGGTAGTAGTTCCTTTCTTAAAGTTTATTCATCGTACAAGTCAGTTTTGGAAACAGAAGTGTACATAACTACGTTGTACACTAATAGAGACTTGAGGCGTATATTATGTGAATTTCGTTGTTGCTTATCGCAGCAACTGGGTGTCTAACAGCTGCGTTTCAATAAAGACAATGTAGATAATACAATAGCAATATCTATTAAGTATCATTTAATTATGTTGTAGAAGAAGAATACCACTTTATGTTAGTATGTCCTTACTACCATACCGTACAGTTTATTCCTGGTTATTATCATATATATCCATCTGTATTTAAGTTGAACCAGTTGTTATGCACAAAATATATGAATGCTATCCAAAGCCTAGCAATCTACCTGAAGAGAAACCTACCTGTTTGACTGCTATACAGTGATGCATTATATTTATGTTTATGTATTGTATGCTCACAAACAAACAATTATGTATTTTTCGTACTCTGGGCCATGAGGCCATTATACGAAATAAACGCTCACTCTCACTCTCTGTATCTATTTTTGTCACGAAATGTTTAACAAAACAATCCCCATGGGAGTCACAACGTGATAAATTATGACGTAACACGTGTACACTAGTATACCACTTAATATGGGCAGTGATATGGACAATGAAAATGTGTTAACATGTTGCTACTCTTATAGTAGGTGTAGGAGTAGTCACTCAAAGAGCCCCCTTGTGTTATTCAACTTGCTGAAGTACCCATCTGTAGCGTCGTTGTGTGACTTGTATTGAACCAATGTCACTGAGGGACACTCGACTTGGTCCAATATCGCTTTGTTCCCAAAAATGCATAAGAACATATGTTCCCAAACCCAGCAGTGTATCTATATATGCCAAATCATGCAACAGATCTGGCCACCATTACGGGTATCTAATATTGCGATTTCTGTGTTGGGTCTATATATGCCAATAGTGTGTGTGCAGATTAAAGCTATACACATACCACACAACAACCGACTGTTAAACAGGAGTGAGTGAGTTTAATTTTACGCCGCATTTAACAATATTCCAGAAATATCACCAGAAATTAGTACCCATGTGAGGAATCGCATCTATTTAACAGGATACCTCTGTCTATTGCAGACCAAAAAGCTTCAGCCAAGCTTAATAGCTGTTGTTGTTTAACGCTGCACTCAGCAATATTCCAACTATATGGCGGCGGTCTGTAAATAATCGAGTCTGGATCAGGCAATCGAGTGATCAACAGCATGAGCATCGATCTACACAACTGGGATACGATGACATGTGTTTGAAGTTTGAAAGGTATAAACTCGACCATTGAGTGGCGGTTGCAGTATCCAGTTTCTCAGTGGGCGAGTGGGTGGTTGTGTGAATAGCGTTTTACGCCGCAGAGTAAACAGAGGGTATTTTGGGTAAAGATCTTCTGTCAGCTTTAGCCACACTAAGGTTGGGTCGGACCAACCTTAAATGTTCACCTTAACTAAGGCTACCTTAGCGTAAGGTAGATTCGTACAACGGGACGTCAACCTTAGCAAAGGCCTAAGGTTAAAACTTAAGGAGGTAAGGTAACCTTAGAGCTACGGTTGTTTTGTAGAACGGGACCCTGGAGATCTCTCTCTCTTTCTGTCTCTGTGGCTCTGTCTCTATGTCTCTCTCTGTGTCTATCTCTCTCTGTGTCTCTCTCTGTCTCTCTGTCTGTCTCTGTCTCTCTTTCTGTCTGTCTCTGTCTCTATCTCTGTCTGTCTCTCTCTCTCTCTGTCTCTCTCTGTCTGTCTCTGTCTGTCTCTCTCTCTCTCTCTCTGTCTCTCTCTCTCTGTCTCTATCTCTCTGTCTCTCTCTCTCTCTCTCTCTCTGTCTCTCTCTCTGTCTCTCTCTCTGTCTCTCTCTCTCTCTCTCTCTCTCTCTCTCAAAACATAATTGTGTGAAACAACAAACAACTGTAATACGTTCAACAAATTAACAATTGTATTATAAAAGTAACCAAGTTTACAAATCAAGACACATCATAATTAGAAATTTCAAAGGCAGAACAATTGCAAGGGTAGTATAACATATTAGCAAAGGAAATGGCAATGTTCTATACTGAGCCAGACATCACTACGTACATATAACACATCAGGTCTTTGATGGCATTTAGAAGGGATACACATCAGGAAGAGAGTTTTATCGATGTCAACTTCTTTATTATGAGGAACACAACGTTTCTTACTCCTCCATCAAGTGAATGAATGATATGAGGCAGAGAGTATATAACTGTACACGTCGGTATAAACACTGCATGTATCAATTTACAACACGCACACTAAACACAAATTGTGATAAAATAGGGGCTGGGGTAATCCAGTGGTTAAATTGTTCGTTCGTCACGACGAAGACCCGGGTTCGATTCCCAACAAATAATAATGTGTGGAATAATGTGAAAAGCAGCGTAAAACTGCAACTAACTCACTGATAAACTATTCATTCGTTCGCTACATTTTATGGCTCTTCATATACTTCTCATAACGACTTATCTCCTTTGACCACTCAGTTGTCACATCAATCCCACGAACCCGCTCTTCAACAATCAGCGCTGTAGGTTTGTACATCACAACACGTCACAAGTTGGCAAGACATTTCATGTGTATGTGTGCAGTGGTAGTACTGTATCTATCTGGTGATCGTTTGGCCACAATGGCTGCTCTAAACTGATTTCATGCTCCAACTAGTTTGGCTGCTTTTGTACCGATCAAACACGATCCCGTATCCAACACTGAGTTAACATCAACAGCATAAATGTGATCAGAATAACGTAGACAGAGTTGCTAAAATGTGGAGCAAAGACGATTGCCCTGCTATGCATATCACACAACATGTCGAGAAGAGAGTGAAAACCGCTGTTAAACATCCCGTAAGACCTACAACCCATTCAGTAAAGTTTGTAAAACAATTGTTCAAAGTCACTTAAAGAAAAAGTAATTCAAAATCATTACAACTCAAAATATCAATATTCTACATGATTTTGGACCACATAGTGTTATTGAGACAATATATCTGAATATAAAGTAGAAGTAATGGCTGCTTACATTACATTACATTACATTCCAGTAGGTGAGAGAGTATGGTTTTATATTGCTTTTTAGCTTTTAGCAATATTCCTGCAATATCACGGCAGGGGACACCAGAAATGGGCTTCACACATTGTACCCATTTAAGGAATCAAACCATGGTCTTCGGCGTGACGACCGAACGCTTTAACCACTAGGCTACCCAACCAACACTCATTACATTACAAGCTGTGTCTTTCTGAAACAGGGATGATTCGTCACGTTCACATCAAAAGTCAAATGTTCCTACAGTGCATCAAATCATGTCTATCCAGGTAACATATATCTATATTTAACATACAGAAAGAGATTGTGACATGTTCACTCACTTACAGCATGTAAACACCTTCACTACATCTGATGTACACAAGTACATATGCGACCACGCCCACCAACACACAGTCCCAGTGGATTCTTGACACCATCCTGTGATGTCAGTATGTTTCTAACAAACTGTCCTGACTCTGTCAGATGGATGACTCTGTGTTGTGAGTAGTCTGTCACCAGGATGTCGCCTGTGCTGGTACTTGTGATACCACGTGGAACCTTCAGTGCTGAGTCTCCTGTAGGTCTGTAGTTGAACACCACATCACCCTCGGGGGTCAGACACACGACACTGTTAGTTCCCAGTCAGACACCAGGATGTTTCCTGTCCTCGTGGTACAGAGGAAGTAGGGAAGCTTCAACATTTTCCACCATTGTGGCGAGGATAAACTGACTTCAGCACGTGTCCCGACATATCCAGGATATCAACACAGGGAGGGGTATGGGAACTTGCTGCTAGTGTTGATGGTGTCAGAGACGTTATACCCAAGTACTGTTTGCTGGTTGTGATGGTCGACAGCAGCACCAGGTCAGGGGTCACTTCAACTGTTACAATCTGTCTGGTATCCGGCACAGTGACAGCCACCTGGTTGTGTTTCAGCCTTGTTATACCACATGGTCCACCTCCCAGACTGAGCTTGCTGTGACCTGGCTGACTGTTCCTGGTGTAGAAGGACTTTACACTGTTGTTGTTGTAGTCTGTAACTACCACTGTGTCTGTACCATTCACCTCTAACACCGTCACGTCATGGGGTCTCGTCCATCTGCATCTCCTGCTACTGTCACGTTAATGGTGTCCTGTAACACAGGAGCAGCCTTCAGGTCCAGCACATTAATGGTGTCCTGTAACACAGGGCAGCCTTCAGGTCCAGCACATCGTCACATCGTCATACTGGACGTGTATGCAGATGGAGATCTTCCAGTGCTCTACTCAGCTTGTCCGTGTCCTGTCTGAATGTTATCCTGTCTATTCTTCCCTTCTCCTTCATGTCTACGACTACGACAGCCTCCACATCACCGGCCTCACATCCCTGATACATCTCATACACATCCATGTCACACTCAGATTGTAGAGCCTGGTCTATCAGCTCAGTCTGTTGTTGGTACATCTGTACTGACATCTCACCTGACTTTATGTCTGCCTTCAGTTGTCCAATGTGTCTATCAGACATCTCTTTCAGTTCAGACAGAAGTTTCCGTTCCTTGGCTTTGATCGTCTGTATTGCTGTGAGACTTGCAGACTTGATACTTGATTGTGTTTGTTTATATAGCGCCAATTCTTCTTTGACAATGGAGTTCTGTTTTCTGACATATCTTTTCATCTCATCGTGTTTCTTTAACAAATTCTCTTTATTCCTTTTCAGCTCGGTTTTCATTGCAGGAATCTCTGACTCAATTTCAACAACCATGTCACATTTCCTGTGATGGATAGTGCAGCATGTTTGACAAACAGCTGTGTTACAATCTTTACAAAGATATTTGATCCTTTTATTTTTGTGAACTTTACACATGACCTTTCTCTTGACCTTGGCCCTTGTCTCTCCAGACAGGTCAACTACGTCATGGTGACGGGAAGAGGGGATTCGTTGGTGCATCCTTGTACATTGTTCACATAGTGCGTCGTCACAAACAGAACACCAAGATGTAGCTGGAGTTGTCTCCCCTTCCTCCTTACAATAACTGCAGTTAGTTGTATCTGAAATAACCATTCATTCATGTGGTGACATTAACCTGGTGACATCACAATGTTTTATAGGGCTAGATGTGGTGATATTAACATGGTGACATCACAATGTATTATAGGGCTAGATGTGGTGATATTAACCTGGTGACATCACAATGTATTATAGGGCTAAATGTTGTAATATTAACCTGGTGACATTACAATGTATTATAGGGCTAAATGTGGTGATATTAACCTGGTGACATCACAATGTATTATAGGGCTAGATGTGGTGATATTAACCTGGTGACATCACAATGTATTATAGGGCTAGATGTGGTGATATTAACCATGTGACATCACAATGTATTACAGGGCTAGATGTGGGGATATTAACCTGGTGACATCACAATGTATTATAGGGCTAGATGTGGTGACAGTAACTTGGTGACATCACAATGTATTATAGGGCTAGATGTGGTGATATTAACCTGGTGACATCGCAACAATAGTATAGGGCTAGATGTGGTGATATTAACCTGGTGACATCACAATGTATTATAGGGCTAGATGTGGTGATATTAACATGGTGACATCACAATGTATTATAGGGCTAGATGTGTTGATATTAACCTGGTGACATCACAATGTATTATAGGGCTAGATGTGGTGATATTAACCTGGTGACATCACAATGTATTATAGGGCTAGATGTGGTGATATTAACCTGGTGACATCACAATGTATTATAGGGCTAGATGTGGTGATATTAACCTGGTGACATCACAATGTATTATAGGGCTAGATGTGGGGATATTAACCTGGTGACATCACAATGTATTATAGGGCTAGATGTGGTGATATTAACCTGGTGACATCACAATGTATTATAGGGCTAGATGTGGTGATATTAACCTGGTGACATCACAATGTATTATAGGGCTAGATGTGGTGATATTAACCTGGTGACATCACAATGTATTATAGGGCTAGATGTGGTGATATTAACCTGGTGACATCACAATGTATTATAGGGCTAGATGTGGTGATATTAACCTGGTGACATCACAATGTATTATAGGGCTGGATGTGTCGCATCATGTTCCTACTTGACACATGTGAGAAAATGTATCGGAAACATCGGAACACGTCTCAGGTTGAAACGTCATGTAAATATGTTTGGAATTATCTCACCGTAAACGTTGTTGTACGGATCATGAATAAGGTTTATATATATCTTTGGTCATGTCACCTGATATGCTGTGTCTTGCTCGTTGAACACATATCCACAATGAAAGTTCACATTCCTCACAAACAGTTTTTTTACATACATCAAACTATACTAGTATATACATAGCAGGGTCATACAATGTTCATAACATCACAAACATTTATTTTGCTTAAATCAATTATTCTGTTACCTGCTTACAAACAACATGTATATTGCTACAACCTACAACTATTCACCTTTAGATCCGGGGCCAAACGAGGTCCAACAGTCCCTGGATGACAAAGCTCGGCTTGACGTCATCCGCCCACTCCTCCACTGGTCTCTCGGGGTCAGACACTTTCGTCATCTTCCTGCAGAATGGACACAGGAGAGACTTGGCACTGAGGGCTTCTGGTCTGGTTTTGGTGTAGTTGACGACACATTTCCGACAGAAGGTGTGATTACACACAAGTGTACAGGGCTTGTCAAACACCTCTGTACATATGGTGCATGTCAGGAAGTGTTCGGTCAACTTCTGGGAGGTCGCCATCTCTCCTACCAAAAGTCAGCAGACACGACATAAACATCCTTTCCACTATACAAACCACAACATTCATTACACAAACACTGACCATATTTGTAGTCCCGATTTACTGACAGGTCTAAAAGAACTATGTCTAGTAAATCCTGCTCTTGGAATTATGAACGAATGAAAACATATTCCAGATGTATGTAGATCCTATAATCAATGAGAGATAACATTGGTAGACGGGTTGTAACTGGGCCGTGTGTATTGTGTGTGTATGATGTGTGCGTGTGTGGGTCGCTCTGTCTTCCTGGTCATAAATAAAACATGGGTCGTCTGTATTGTGTGTGTATGATGTGTGCGTGTGTGGGTCGTTCTGTCTTCCTGGTCATAAATAAAACATAGAACAGCCATTCCATCACATACTTCACGTTATACACAAACAATCCTGTATTTGAGAAGCGTTAGAAACTGGATATAGGATGAAGGGAAGTGACCGCCTGTTGGTTTGATTCTGTCCGTCTTGTAGATTCTTTCTTTGGCCTGATATTGATACTGGATACTTCTTCATACGTAAAACACAGAACATACAATCCCTCAGATATTTCACGGTTTACACAAACACAAAATTCTCTCCTTTGCCTGACATACTGGAACCGTTGAGCCACAATACGAACGTTTAGGGGCAGTTGTGGTGCCTTTGTACTGGTTTCTGAACTTAGTTAATTTTAGAATGCAAATGTTAATTACAGCACATTTCTTTGTTGTTGTTTTGTTGGTTTCAAAGCTTATTCTTTTACGGAATTAATTCATAATTTAGTTCAGGTGTTTAGTTCACGAAACACTGCCATGAAAGTCAGGCGGTCGGTCCCCGTGCTGTTGTAGGAGTTGTGCTATTGTGCTTTAGGAATATGTTATCTTTTGAGGTTGACAAGCATTACCACATGACATTGTATAGTATAACAGACTGGGCATGTTTTGGTGTCACGGAGCACCATGAATCAGTGACCTGTCTGTGAGCAGATCGTCAATGGATCTTTGCAACTCGTCGTCACCAGCTTTACAACATGCAGTTATGAACCGTGTGCAGCATGTCAATCACCTGACAGAGTTACATGGCGACACCCGCTCATTATCATATCGAAAGTAGGAGACGTTCAGTTCGGGTTTCTCTACATTAGATGTAAAATAATGTGTTAATGTAGAAGTATTTTACCATATTTTGTGCTGTAGCATTTATCTGTGATCAATTCAGTAACAACTTTAGCAAACACACATTATATACATACATGCACATACATCGGGACAGATCTCAGTATTGAAGTCACGAGGCCGATCAAGGAAGTAATGAAAGTAGACACTCCATACACTATGCTCAGTCTAAATATTACAGTATATAAGGTGCCCGGATTTGAGAATGTGCCTGGAGATGACCTAACAGTTAGATGAACCATTGTGGTGTTACCTGTACACAGTAGGACAGGTGTGTAGCTTATAACTGGAATAGACACAGCCCCCTGTGACAACACACTTACCCGAGACCGGTGTAGAGGGAACTGAGCACCAGGCGAGATAGACCCTAGGTAACCGGTGTAGAGGGAAACTGAGCACCGGAAGAGATATACCTTACAGGGTTGACGTGGTTCATTCGTGATCAACTCGTCATTCAGGGACAGTTTGCATGCTACGGAAAGGGACGAGTGATGTCGAATGAGTGATTGTGTTTTGAAATCGTCTTGAATGCGCAGGGTCACGATTCAAGATTTATTGTTGCAGTCTTATAGCTGTGATAGTGTTAGATTAGAAAATTCAGTCACCTGTGATATAGCTGGATGACTGCATAACTACAATCACTCACTCACTCACTCACCCAGGAATAAGTCACACCGTTATCTTTTTGTTGGTCTGTTACACTCTACACGTTCACAAAGCACATGTTGTCTGTTGGTTTGGACTTGAATATGGAAACTGTTGTACCTTGGAGAACATGAACATTCATGTTGACTCGTCTGCTCGTCAGACGGAAGACCCGGGTTTGATTCCCCACATGGACCAAATGTGTGAAGCCCATTTAGGTGTCCCGCCGTGATACTGCTAAAAGCGGTGTTAAAACACTCCCCTAACTTCTCTGAGGTAGATCAAGACTTCAAATTGTTTGTACTGACGTTTGATATTTAAGAGTAAATGCTGAAGTGTACTGGACAAGATTTTTGCTGTGCGGAAATGAGTGAAGGCAACCAGAGTCCGTCAGAGCTCCTGGACATGACACCCGCACGTTGACCCTCAAGATTACTGAATGATGTCGGTACACTCACAGACTTGTGTACAGATTGGTCAAGACTGACATGTGGTTAACATCGGTCACGAACCGTATGCTTCATTCCCCATGGGATTCTGGTTATCAAGGATCAAGGAACATGTCGTCCATGGGGACTATATGAATAGGTTCCGTCACTAGGAAGAATAATTGTTGTCATGCACCGGCTGCTTGGATGCTGCCATAATAGCAATCACTCGTTTATCCGGCCAACACTCGACTATATACAAACTACCGTCATCAACATGTGGCTGGGTCACAGTGACAACACGCAAAGTGAATGCAGGGTTGTAAGTTTACTTCCAAGTGGCTTGAGAATTCAGTGTACACGCTAAACTCTGAAACAATTGTGGCAACAATATAATAACAATAAAATAACAATGTTCAGCATGTTTACAGAACATACATTTACATCTGTTTATAATATTCAGTACATTTACGGTATAAATGTTAATACAGCTTGAATGCATGAGCGCCGACAATATTATTATCTGTGCATTAAAACATTACAGAAATATCATGATCACTGAGGGGTTGAAATTTACAAAAATCAGGGGCGATCACTCATGACATGAGTTAAACAAAGCCATAAATGATATCGGCGGTAATCGCCGCATAGCATACAATATTTACCTTAGAAGGTTAACATAAAGGAACGATGATTCTTTATTTTAGAATGATATATATACATGTTATAAACAGTATTGTCCGGCACATTACATACCCTATGTTTGGCACAGGGGCCCGTGTTTATGCCTGGGCTGCCATAGCAGACGATGGAATAATGTGTACTGGAAATAAGATAGGTTGAGATCAAAACCAAACCGATTCAGTGTAAACTCTCCAGATAGACATAATGTTAAACATGGAAAGGTATATTTGATACTCTACAAAACCTTCGATTGAGATACTTTGCCATTATTTAACATGTTATATTAGGGATTACACTTTCTTTGTAAAGTACAAAATACTGGTAGTCT